CCCCAAAACCCCAAAACCCCAAAACCCCAAGATTGTTTACATTACAAATTAGAGTAAAGGGAAAATCAGGTAAATAAAATGAATTTTGTTGCTTAGACATTTAATTATTATGAATAAGATTTCTCTGGGTATATTCATTATACTCTGCCTTATTTCTCTCACTCTAACTCAGACACCCCAATAGTGTAAAGAATGTGCAGCTAATCCATGCGGATGTTAACTTTTCAAATGCTCCACGAAATTGCAGTTTCCTACAAGCACTCAAGATCTCTCTAAAGGATTTAGCGGGTGTTAATAAACTAATGGAGATTTAGTCGCTAATGACATTATCTAGTAACTCTAAGGTTAAGGCTCATGCTTATGTCCTTATATGAAAATTGATGAAAGCTGTAAACCGATAGACTAAAGCGGAATTATGCTTGGCGCTGGTTTTGAACTTACTGGAGAGAGCGCAGATAACTTAAAGAAATTGGATGGAAATCTTTTGAAAAAATTGAGTCCATATTTCGCCAAGTAGGAAGCCCCACTTTAGTATCTAATGGCAAATTCTATTGAGCTCACTCAACAAGAACTCTAAGACTTTGAAAAGGTGAAGGCAGAGAATGAAATTTAAAATCTCTAGAAATAGTATGATGCTAGCTAATTCAATAGAAACCAATACGGCAAGCTAAACAAAGACAGGCCTAAGTTTGCGGAATTGAGCAGAGGAGTGAGGACTGTGATCTACTCGCAAAATAAATAGTATGGCAAACCTGATAACTTTCTTCAATTGTGGAATTATGCGCTTCGAACTGACTTTTAAAACATGCTTGACTATCTGAGCAAATAAGGCCAAGAAAGAGGCCTTTTAGAGTCTCAAATTCTGAAATATTGTATGGAGAAATGCTCAGAGTCAAAGAAGGTCAACATTTTATTTGTAATTGACGGGTCAGGAAGTATTAATAAAACAAATTTTGAAACCTAAAGAGACTTTATTCGAAATGTTATTTAAGGTACTAATGTGGGAAGTGATTCATACCTAATTGGATTGCTGCTTTTTTCAACTTAATTAACTCTTGTGAGTGATTTCAGCTCAGACAAAGCAGCTTTGATTAATGCACTGAATGCAATGGACCATCCAAAAGGATATACTTATACTAACAAAGCATTAATTGAGGCAAAGGAATTATTCTAGTTGCAAGCTAAAAAGAGACCAGATGCACTGAATATAATGTTTGTTCTTACTGATGGAAACCCTTTTCCATCCAGTTAGGCAATTACTGACTAAACCATTAAAGACCTGAAAAATCTGGAGGTTTAAAGATATGCCATTGGAATAGGTGACATAAAAGAAGAGGTGTTAATTTAAATCTCCGGAGATACCAATTAAGATAAATCTAGAATGTATTTCGTTTAAGACTTTAGCAAGTTATATTCACTAATCAATTCCTTGAGTGTTTCTGCTTGCTCTACTCCATAGGAAATTAAACTAAACTAAAAGGTCTTTGATACAGCTCTTGATGGCCAAGGATCTCAATACCTTAAATTCCCTCAAAAGTAAATATCCTTAACAATTGATGTAAAAGATCAAGCGGTGATCTCTTCTCTCTTCTCCTCAAGTTATCAGCTATCATTAGCTAATACTGATTAGAATAATGATTAACTTGATGATGTAGAGGCTTACTATTCATTTACCTATGACATGCCAAATTAATTTATAAATGATGGAGCTGGGGAGCAAAAAGATGGAGTGATCACTTTAGTTATAAACAATGACAAAACTAGCACAAGTAAGATTAAAATCATTTAAATAATTTCCTATAGCATATGTTTCTCTCAAGAAAAAGTCTTCCGGTAAGATTAATCTCTCTGTTGAGTAGGAGAGTTTGCAACTTGAGAAATGTGATGAAAACTGTACACTTTGCAATAGTCAACTTATATGCAAATTGTGCGATGAAGGTTATGAGCTTGTTTAAAGCAAATGCTAAGTTATTAAACTTGCTGAACCGATTAAAGTAGAAAAAAAACTTGAAACTGTTGAATCAAATGAGCCCGTTGAATCTGAGAATTCAAAGGTCTGGTTGATTGTATTGGTTACAGTATTAGTTCTTGTAGTTCTTGGAGTCGGACTGTTTATCTACAAGAAGAAGAAGAATTCTAATGGCTCAAATGATTTGGCTTATAATAATCAGACTCATTAGACACTACTTTAGAATTGATCAAAAAATTAAAATTTCTGATGTGAGAATTATTTACTATACTTACTTTCTTAATATTTTTGATGATCAGATTCATGGGGTTTTGGGGTTTTGGGGTTTTGGGGTTTTGGGGTTTTGGGG